GGACTTTTCTTTGTGAAATTTTGTGTTTTGAAACAGAGTCTTGTTATACCTTGTACTCTCAAGGATCCTGGTTTGGCCTCCTGAATGTCCCCATCATCACAATTTGCCCCAGTTTGCAGGATGTCTCACTATACGGTCACGCTTACCCTTGAACTTGAACCCTCCTATCTCAGCCTCCCCCAAATGGCTAGGACTACAGGTATGTAGTACCAAATTTTCAGTAGTGATCACCACAAAAGTTATCTGTATGAAAGTGTGTGAGATGGGTGTCCAAGCGCAGAGAACTTCTGCCAAGTCTGATGGTATCAATTTGATGACTGAAACCCACAGGGTAGGAGGAAAGTTGATTCCTGCAAACTGTCCCCTGACCTCCACACAAGTGCATGTGAATGAACACAGAGAGAGAGAGAGAGAGAGAGAGAGAGAGAGAGAGAGAGAGAGAGATCAGAACACACACAGATATAAGAAAACTTTGAGTGTAAATTTTGGAAACACCTCTCTGAGATGCAGGACCCCACTTCTGTGTTTCCCATAGAATAAAGACAAATGCAGGGTAAATGCTATCACCACATTTATTCAAACTTACGTCACATGGCTTCAGTTAACACACACTGAGAAGAACACAGAATTCTAAAGATGCGTAGGGTACAAAGGAAAACATCAGACAAGCTCAAACTCAAGGATATTCCACAAATAAACCAGTACCTTCAAAATGCCATGCTACCAAGTACAGACAGGCGAGAAACTGCTCCACACCGAGGAAACCAATGAAGTACCCATAAAGTCCACAATTGTGGATCAAATCCAGGACCTACAAAGGACATTTTGAGTAACTTTTCAAAATTTTAATAAGGTCTGCGGAGATGATAAATGAGATCAATGTTGATTTCCCGGATTTGCCGGTATCTAAATATGCCGAACAACTTAACCAAGAAGCTGCCGCCAACACAGTCCCCGGCTCTGGGGCACATCTGATTAAAACCAGCAATTTGGTGGTTCTGATTCTCAGATCTCAGCTACCTGTAGGCAGTCCTTCATGAAAGGACTGAGAGCATGAGGAGGTGTGTGGATGCTCAAGGTGAAAACTGAGCACATGGAAAAGAATACCAGGAAGAGCAGAGATGGAGGGGGCATTCGCCGCTCCAGTGAGCCACACAAACGCCCCGAACGGCAACTGCGCTGTCCAGTCCTGAATTTGAGGAGTAATCAGAAAATAAACAGGAGCCACCAAGGGAACGAAGCTAGCCTCCCCTGCTGGCTTTCTCATTTGCCAACAGGAGACAAAGATTCTGGCAGTGCTATCATTAAAAACTCTCTGAGAGCCGGGAGGTACAAAAGGGCAGAGTGCTTAATTCACACGCACAAGGCCCTGGGTTCAAACTCTCAGAGGCAAAAATGAAAAAAAAATAAAAATTTAAGTAAATTTAAAACTAACTGCTAAAAAGTAATTTTAAAAACCCCAAAATATTCAGCATGCTATAACATAGGAGACTCTCAAAACCAAACAAACACAAGAAAAACCTAATCATGATAAACAAAACAAGGCCAAAAACAAAACAAAAACAACAACAACAAAACAGAAACCAACATACAGACTAACATAAAGGTACCATTTCCAGAGGGAAAAAGACCAGAGAGGCCTACGAGTGCAGTTAACTACTCTATGCCTCAATTTTCTCACTTCACAGTAATCGCTACGGACTCCAGCAAGGCTCCCAAATATAGTTAAAGCTTAGGAAAATGTGCTGGACTCAACAAGGGCTCAATATGTACATACACAAAATTTGGGAGTAACAAATCTGGTAAATAAATTGCTTTCCGGGTTTAAAGGTTATTAAAATAAACAAACAAACCTAGAAATAATGTAAAGACCCAGAAACAGAAACTACTTCATCCTGAACCTGATCCTTATTCAAAGCAAATAATTTTTTAAAACAAAGCCCATGGCTTAAAATACTTAGAAGTCTACACATACAAAGTATGAGGACATAGGGAAATGTTTTAAACTCTCCTTCCCCCGCTTAATATCTGAATTCATTCGAATAAGAGACGAGGAAATGTTAAATCTCCTTACCTTCCATTTCCTCACGTTGGCGTTTTGGTGTATAATTCTATAATTCCATGATTCTAAACATAAAGGTTGTTTACTAAAAAGTGATTTCTCGTTAAGATAATTCTCATTCTAACACCTAATTCTGTAAAAGTCAATACTCCTAGGATCAAACCCAGCTAACTCCCTTGTCTCCCAGGTCGCCCACGTCACCCATCACCGCTGTCCTGTGTCATGGAGCTACAAGACAGGACAGATGCAAGGTGTGGGGTCCTCCTTTCCTTTCAGGACAGGGGCGCAAGTGAAGTCAGCTGCCCCATCACTTCACCAGGCAAGGCAGTGCTTGTTTAGTCTTTTGAAATAACTACTGATTTGAGCACAAGCTGTGCGTCTTTGGTTAGACTATTTTCTCGCCAGCATCAACATTTGCCCTCTCGTATTTATCATCTCTCAGGCCTTTTACAGAGTTTACAGACTTGGTTACTCTGTGATTCTTTTTAAATATTTCCAGGAAAAGATTCTAACATGAGGAGAGAGTACACACAAATTTCAATATTTAATAAATTTATCTTGATAACATTAAAAGAAGCTTACACTTTAAACTGCATTATAAAAAATACATCAGTCTTCACGTTAGTTTTACATCGAAATATATAATTATTTGAATATTTAAATATAGCCTTTCTTTAAGCAAAAAAAAAAGGGGGGGTTTACGCAAAGGCCTAACTACATAAATAATTTCAATGCACAAGTGCACAACCACCCGTTACACAACACTGCACACTGCACACACCAGGACAACTACAGTACAAAGCTACTCACAGTACGGAAAAGAACAAGATTAACAAAATATTCATTTGTGGTTGTAATCTTGATGTACCACTATTAAAAGAATATAATGCACTCTTGACTACACAAAATAACCAATTGTTTCAACCTAGCCTGAAAATTATTAACATTTATGTAGATAAAGGGGCACATCTTGCATCCTATCAAACTCTGAAAAATTCACTTCCAATTTAACAAGTTTTATAATTTCAAGTTTCCAAGCTGGCCTAAAATAATATTCCTTAAAAGAATGTAATAAACACTTGCGAAGTGTTAAAGAGAACCATCATTTCTGTATCAGTCATTTTATATTTGGGTGATGAGAATTCTACATAGGAATCTTTTCCTTGCTCTCCCTTAAAATGGTACTTAAAAGAGTTTCCAGTTTGATGAAGGAAACTGTAACAGCTTTGAACTTGAACTTTAAGAATGATCCTCACTGCAGAGCATCATCATGATAGACATGATCTGACATAATTACGGGCTGGGCTATCGGTATGAACTCTCACTTTTAAACAGAGTTGTCTTCCTTAATTCAAATTTGATGATTGTTTTTTTTTTTAAACAAAACAAACAAAAAAACCTAGTGTCTCGTTGAGATTTTTTTTTAAAGGGAATTAAAATATTTGTATCTAAGGAGGCAAGGTTGAAGAAACTAAACAGGTTACTTGCCAACTAAAAAAAAAAACACATTTGTCCACTGCAATATAATTAGCATTTATATTTAGAAGTAAAGATATGACAATAGTTATCACCATTAACAACTCACAGGTTAAATAATGGCCCCTGAAACAAAATCACATTGATATTTCACTAATTCTAAGGTAACACAGTTCTATCTCTGAAATCAAGATACAGTTTAACACTGACTCTAGTTTCAATTAAGTATAGTAGTTATACAATAAAGGGAAACTTTGTGTTTCCTTGTAACATCAACGACAGAGAAAGATCAAGGTCTTGACTGAACAAGAGGATAGGGTGCATCTGCACCAGCTCAGTCAATGTCCCTTAAAGAAATATTCTCGAGCACCAGAGGCTCGCACGGTGTCAAAGTATCTTTTATCTGAACTGTTTAAGAAAAAATGTCAAATTGGTTTAACCTTGAGCTACCTAGTTTAAGATAACTAGATAGTTTAAGATAAACTGATTGATGTATAAATCGTTTTTCACTTGTAAAATGGGTCTCCATCCAGTTAAGTTACTAGTTTAAGATTTCTGAAATGTTAAAGTTTTTCACTAATGACAATTAATGGCCAGCCGACACGCTATTATCAAATCAGTAGCTTCAGTTCAATATGTTAAAATATCTGAAATATTAATAAGATGACAAAATTTACCCAGTAAAGAGGAAAAGGTAGTTTAAAAGTCTAGTCATATCGGTAAAATCTTTTTCCGTATAAGGTTACTAATAACACTGAGCAGTTCTCTCTCCTCTCTCTCTCTCTCTCTCTCTCTCTGTGTGTGTGTGTGTGTGTGTGTGTGTGTGTGTGTGTGTGTGTGTGTGTAACTGAGGAAAGCTACAGACTTGCAGGTCCAATGTAAATGAAGGAGAAAGAATTCCTGTTGTCTATAAAAATCACCAGGCACTTAAAAACTGGATGAAGTAATTATTTCATGGAATGCCTTTAGAAGAAAAAATATATTTCTGTGATCTTTCAAGTCAATCACATTCAAAAATTGAGAAAGCACAATGTCACTTGTTTGATTTATCCAGTCCGAATACTTGTGATGATTCAACTTGGAAGCATGGTGACCAATTAGATATCTGTCCATTTGTTTAAAGGTGGCATTGATAAGTTTGCTGTGTCCATTCTTGCAGTGTTAAAACTTTTTGGCACGAAAGGTTTTCAGAAGAGATGAATATGGACATGAGTTAAGAGAAAAAAATTCTCTCTACTGTGCTAAATTATAAGACAAATTAAGGTGAAGTTCTTCTACAGAAACGGGACAAAGTTTGCTTTTAAATCTTTAAAAGAAAAAAAAGGACCCTAAACACTAATTTTAAATGAATATAAAATCTCTGAAAAATAATATCTGTAGCAAAATAGTGTAAGGTCAGGAGTCCAAAGGTGTTCCGTCCAGTGAAGGGCTGATCTCGCTCGGCTTACGCTTTCACTTGGCCTCACTGCTTCGACTTGCTTGCAAGCCGCGTCACCATCCTGTCGGAGCAGGAGGCGTAACTTGAGCTTCTCAGGTCATACTCTCTCACAGGAAGAAGCTTCTTTCTGCGGTAGTACTTTTTCCGGTAGCGCTTTCTTCCCGCAGCCTCGGGAAGACTGGCAGGCAGCTCGGCGGGCCCTGCAGCGGTGCTTGGCTGGGGCTCTTCAGGCACGGCCGGGCTGATGGAGAGGCTCAGCCGGGAGCGCGCTTCTTCGGCTGCTTTCTTGGCCTCCTTTATCTTCCTGGCGACCATCTTCTTCTTCCACAGCTGCTTTCGGATAAGAACAGTCTTTGACTGACGGTTCCTGCGCACACCAGGGCCTCTGTTACCGTACTTCCTAAGGATATCGGTCGCTTTCAGCTGAATCCACATAGCCAGTTTTTCTGACGCTAGTTTTGATTTTTTCCGGAGAACCACTGTTTTGTAAGCATTTTTGAGTAAACACATTTTGAGATGTGTAGCCGCCATCTTCTTTTTCCAAAATTTCTTTTGATTTTTACTCTCCAAAAGCTCCTTTTTGATTGATTTGAGAAACATCTTGGCACTGTCACGGTTCAAACGAGTCTGCTGGGAATTAGCACTGGGAGTTTCAGCAGCGACCACAGCCGGCTTTTCTGCAGCTGCAGACTGATCCTCGAGGAACCTCTGAATGGTTCTTTTCTTGGGCGCCGCCATGATGGATGCCGAAGGCACGCTCGGCCTGCTGCTGCTGGCCCAGCTGGTGCTGGTGCTGGCGCTGGCGCTGGTGCTGGCCCAGCTGGTGCTGGTGCTGGCGCTGGTGCTGGCCCAGCTGGTGCTGGCGCTGGCGCTGGTGCTGCTGCTGGCCCAGCTGGTGCTGGCGCTGGCGCTGGTGCTGCTGCTGGCCCAGCTGGTGCTGGCGCTGGCCCAGCTGGTGCTGGCCGTGCTGGCCGTGCTGGCGCTGGCGCCACTCTGACCGGGGTCCCCGCCAGCTTTCTCAGCTGTGTCACCGTCCGGTCCCGTCGGGTTCTGCAGAGCATTAATCACGGTTGTCGCAGGTGGTCGGCTGGGAGCGGCTTGCGAGGCCCCGTCGCTGCCAGGCTTCGCCTTGGGTTGGCTCAAAGACTGACCTTCCGTCATACACAGAGAGGAGAAGATGGAGACCAAGGAATCGTGCTGCACGGGCGCCGTCGGGGCTGCAGGCGACTCGCTGCTCCCGCTCGGGGCTTTTTCCTTCTTCCGGCTGTCATAGTAGAAATGCTTCTTTCTCGGCAGCTCTCCCTCTTGTCCGGCCATCTTTCTTTTCTTCGCAGGACTTGCTTGGGTTCCAGGCCTGACTCCTTCCACCCGGTCCTGAGAAGCCACACTGCGGCCCTCCGCGGGGGAACAGGACGGTTTGTCCTCGGCGTCTCCAGTGTCACCTTCACTGTGCACCGATGCGGCGTGAACCGCTGCGGCGCCCCTCTCGGTCTCAGGGCAACCGTGGTAGTAACCGTAGAGATGACCGTGAAAGTCCTGTGTGTGTGTGTCCGCCTCAACTCCGCTCACCTGAGACTGAGTTTCTTCAGCAAATGGCGGAGGGACTTGAGGTGAGGCTTCATGAACCAGTTCATTAGGATCCCCTTCTGCGTGCTCCTCTGCATGCTCCTCTGCATGCTCCTCTGCATGCTCCTCTGCATGCTCCTCTGCATGCTCCTGTGCATGCTCCTCTGCATGCTCCTCTGCATGCTCCTCTGCATGCTCCTCTGCATGCTCCTCTGCGTGCTCCTCTGCATGCTCCTTTGCATGCTCCTGTGCATGCTCCTGTGCATGCTCCTCTGCATGCTCCTCTGCATGCTCCTCTGCATGCTCCTCTGCATGCTCCTCTGCATGCTCCTCTGCATGCTCCTCTGCATGCTCCTCTGCATGCTCCTCTGCATGCTCCTCTGCATGCTCCTCTGCATGCTCCTCTGCATGCTCCTCTGCATGCTCCTCTGCATGCTCCTCTGCATGCTCCTCTGCATGCTCCTCTGCATGCTCCTCTGCATGCTCCTCTGCATGCTCCTCTGCATGCTCCTCTGCATGCTCCTCTGCATGCTCCTCTGCATGCTCCTCTGCATGCTCCTCTGCATGCTCCTCTGCATGCTCCTCTGCATGCTCCTCTGCATGCTCCTCTGCATGCTCCTCTGCATGCTCCTCTGCATGCTCCTCTGCATGCTCCTCTGCATGCTCCTCTGCATGCTCCTCTGCATGCTCCTCTGCATGCTCCTCTGCATGCTCCTCTGCATGCTCCTCTGCATGCTCCTCTGCATGCTCCTCTGCATGCTCCTCTGCATGCTCCTCTGCATGCTCCTCTGCATGCTCCTCTGCATGCTCCTCTGCATGCTCCTCTGCATGCTCCTGTGCATGCTCCTGTGCATGCTCCTGTGCATGCTCCTGTGCATGCTCCTGTGCATGCTCCTGTGCATGCTCCTGTGCATGCTCCTGTGCATGCTCCTCTGCATGCTCCTCTGCATGCTCCTCTGCATGCTCCTGTGCATACTCTTGTGCATTCTCCTTTGCATTCCCTTGTGCATGTTCCTGTGCATTCTCCTCTGCATTCCCTACTGCGTGTTCCTGTGCATTCTCCTGTGCATTCCCTACTGCGTGTTCCTGTGCATTCTCCTGTGCATGTTCTAGTGCATACTCCTGAGCATTCCCTACTGCGTGTTCCTGTGCATTCTCCTGAGCATTCCCTTCTGCATGTTCCTGTGCAGGCTCCTGTGCATTCCCTTCTGCATTCTCCTGTGCAGGCTCCTGTGCATTCCCTTCTGCATTCTCCTGTGCATTCCCTTCTGCACGTTCCTGTGCAGGCTCCTGTGCATTCCTTTCTGCACGTTCCTGTGCAGGCTCTTGTGCATACTCCTGTGCATTCCCTCCTGCATACCCCTGTGCATACTCTCGTGCAAACTCTCGTGCATACGCTTGTGCATACGCTTGTGCATACTCTTGTGCATATGCTTGTGCATACCTTTGCGCATACTCCTGTGCATACGCTTGTGCATACCTTTGTGCATACCCCTCAGCATACTCTTGTGCATACCCTTGTGCAAACCCTTGTGCGTACACTTGTGCATACTCCCGTGCATACCCTTCTGCATACACTTGAGCATACTCTCGTGCATACTCTTCTGCATACGCTTGTGCATACTCTTCCGGGTACCAAGGATATGGTAGATATTCGTACTTGGTTACTCTCATATCAAAAGTTACCTTCTTAAGGTCGCGGCTTTTCTTAGCAGGCTGAGGTTGGTCCGGGTCCGGTTCAGGCCCATCAGCCCGACGAGGCTCGGGTTCTGGGTCTGCATCTGGTATCTTCAAAGGGATGTGCTTCACGGTGGTCGGGCGGATCACCGACACAGCACGGGCATGGCGAGCCGCAAAGCTCCCCGGTGCCCAGTTCCTGTCTCGGAAGGCAACGTTTCTCGGAACTTCCCAAAAACTGGCGCCTTGGGCTGGTTCCTGCGGCTGGCAAATCACTGGCCGAGCCGTATCTTCCAGACTGCAGCTCCTGCTAGAGCAGTGGGGCTGGGGTCTCTGCTCCTCTGGGGCAGCAGGGACACGGTCAGACACGAGGCACTGGCTGGTAGAGGGCTGGTCAGAGGAATCAGCAGTGAAACTGAGTTCATGACCACAAGACGGACACGTGGGATCTCCCAGAATAATGTAGTCGTTGTTCCGATTGATTATTCTGAAACTTTCCTTGGCTTGATTTGTCGCTGACTGAGAGGCTTCATAATAACAACGACAGAATCTACAGTAGGACCTTCCCATTGTTGCAGGCCCAGCAGAATCTGTATTTGTATCATTGGTTTCTAGCTGAAGAGGAATATTTGAATCAGAAATGACTTCCCGGTCACAATCACTGTCACTGGGCACAACATTCAACAGCACCACCTGTGGGGACTCGGCTTCTCCGTCGGCCGTCTGAGGCTGGTTAACTACTATCTGAAAAGACACGTCAGAGTCGTACAGCACGGCAGGCTCGCAAGGCTCGCTGGACCCCGCTGTGCCAAACTCATTCCTCTCGGGGTCTGCTTCTCTGCAAAACACGGGAGGTGGGCCAACGTCGGGCTGCCGATGAGAACTGGAACAGCATGGTACTTCAGAACAATATGGCTGAAAGGCCTCATTTTCTACCTCATTCTGATTCTCTGTTTGCACATCTACTTCTCTGGTAGACACACTGTCCACAGATGGAGCTGTCACACACTGAACAGGATCATCAGGATAGTAAGCTGGCTCTAAATCAACGAGCTTGTAGCTCTTATCTTCCAGGTAAATACGGTCTTCCTTCAGATTCATTTCCTGGACAGGTTTTTGAAGATGGTCTGCTACTGACTGGCAAGGATCACTGGGATCAGCATCCATTTCAGGACCATCACAGGGATCAATGCTTGTTTCAGGCAAATGTCGTGGCTTCTGAATTACTGAGCAAAAAATGACATTTGAAATGGGCACTACTGCAGAGATGCAGGGTTCACAGTCACTGTCATGCGGACTAACATGTCCCCTCAGTACATTTACTTCTTGAACAGACTCTTGAGCTGTATTATGCACAGACTGGAGCGGTTCATCAGGATGGAAGTTTATTTTTGAATCACTAGATTCAACGGTGTTATCTTCCAAATCACCGCAGTCTTCCCAGCAGCTGATCTCCTCAACTACTTCAACTTCAGTTTGGCCAGCCAATGACTGGGGGACACTGGAAGCACTTGTGACTCCAAAATCCTGCACTTCATCCTCCTCACCTTCCAGGTCATCTTTCTCCATCTGACCTCTGTTTTCATGGCTGTCACTGTGCTGATCAGCCTCCGGCTGGACAGAGTCGTTAGGATCGCAGCTTACTTCAGAATCACGAGACCCGTGATTCCCACCTTCAAGTTCATCGGGTTCAGGCTCCAAAACAGCTGTTTCAGGTGGTTCAGCTACTGACTGAACGGAGACATCAGAATCCAAGTTTGTTGCAGAACTGGCATCCTGGCTGTTGTTTTCCAAGGACATTTGATCGTTACTATCAAGATTTATTTGTTTAAGAGCTAGTTCAAGTTGATCCATTGCAGAAGGAAAAGAGGCCGTGGAATGGTGTATTAGTTTTGAGTAAATCAGTTCCCTGATCTTCTTTTCGAGAACCCTTGCCTCTTCCTTCCACTCGCTCATCTTTGTGATCACGTCATCCTCTTCAGACGGTGCGTGACAGTGGCCGGCAGAATCGGCGTCTGCCTCAGAATCACCGGGTCTGCTGTTGGTGTCTTCCGGCTCAACATGGTTTCCGTTCACAGCTGGCTGAGGTTGGCTGACGGCTGAGTCAAGACAGCCAGTAGCACTGAGATCTCCTCCAGCTCCTTTGGGCCCAGTGCTTTCATCTTTTGAGTCAACATGGTCCCCTTTCCAAGCAGCTGGCTGAGAGTCGCCACACTCGTCGTCACTCCTGACTTCCTCCAGGTGCTTCGTCTTTCTCTTGGCTTTCTTCCCTACATAGGGTTCTGCCACTGGATGAGAAGCAGAAGCAGCGGGGTTGATTTCAGAATGAGATTCTGCACTTTGACTTGGCGACTGGGCATGCGTCTCTTGCTGAGGGCATACATTTTCGACAGTTACTTCACCTTTGCGAATGACTGACTGAAAGGGGGTACGAGAATCAAGTCCTGTTTCAGAAACACGAACCGTCATGGGATCTTCAGAACGTCCAGGCTCTGAGTTAAGAGTATCACAATTCAAACTTGGTTCAGAATCAGTAGGCTCGTTTTCCTTGTGTTGTATGTGTACCTGCTCTTCTTTAGGAGAATCTGTCTTATTAGTATTAGAATCCAAACACATCTCAGAGCCACTGGGGTTGTCATCCCTCCCTTCTAAGGGAGCGCTCTCTTCTTCCTGAATGATTACTTCAGGGTGATCGTTTCCTGAATGAAGAGGAATATCAGAATCATATGTTATTTCAGAAACACAAGATTCATAACTCTTATTTTCCAGATCAACAGGTTCCTCCTCATAAACAGCTACTCGAAGTTGGTCAGCTACTGAGTCATCGGGAATGTCGGAATCAAAAGTTATGTCAGAGCTACTTGACACACAGCTCTCTTCGTCCAGGTCAAAGTCATCTTCGTTCAGTCCTTCAGCATCCAGCAGAGAATGCTCAGTAGCTGACAGAAGAGGGGAATCGGAATCAAATGTCAACTCAGAACTGGAGTAGGCATAGCTCTTAGCGTCCATGTCAGCATTTAACTCATCAAGATTTACTTCATCCCAAGCCCCTTGAGGTTCATCATTAGCTGACTGATAAGAAGCATGGGAATCAAAACTTAGATTAGAAATGCCAGAGTGAACACTCTGATCCTCTAGGTCAACATCTATGTCCTCAGGGTTTACTGGTGAATGGTCAGCCTCTAATTGAGCATCAGCAAGAAAACCCATTTCAGGACCATGAGACTCACAGTTCATATCCCCACGGCTGGTACTCTGGCTGGGAACACTGAGTTCTTCTGCTTCTCTCTGGGGCTCATCACGCTCAGGACGTGCACCAGCACCGCTGGGTTGGCGTTCATCTTGCTGTTGGGCATCTCTGCCTCTTGGGCTTCTTTCTTGAGCAGGCATTTGGGGAGCCGCATCACTATCAGAACTGAAGCTACTTGACCCGTAGTTCTCATCGACCAGGTGTGCATGGGTGGCCTGCAGAGGTTGTTGTTGTCCCGCTGCTGCTGGAATCTCATCAGCTGAGGACACAGAATCCTCCCATAGTTCAGGGCTGCCGCTTCCATAGCTGTCTACCAAGCTGACAGCCATCTGTGTAGGAAGGTTTGCTGCCGCCAGCAGTGGGGCACCGCGACTGGTGGACGGAAGAGAGTCCTCGCCATCGAAATTCACTTCAGAGCCACTAGACTCGTAGCTTTCATCAACCAAACGGATGAGCTGTGTGTTCTGTATAATCACTTGAGAACGGTTGGTATGCCCCTGACGGGAACTGCTGCCATTACCGGAAGTTGCTCCGGAAACAGTAGGTGTTTCGTCGCTAGGCTGGACATCTGCCTGCACTTCTTCTGATTCGTTTATTTCTATAGGGCTCAGTTCAGATAGAGGACTCGGTGACTGGCAAGAGGACGCACAATCAAAACTCATGTCAGAACCTCCAGACTCATAGCTCTCATACTCAAGGTCAACCTCCTCCTCCTCCTCCTCCTCCTCTTCTTCCTCCAAATGACTTAAGTCACTTATGGCGGCTTGGGAATGAGCAGGTACTGGCTGAAGAGAGCCACGATCGAGCTGCACTTCAGAACTCACCGAGCACGTTTGTCTCAGAAGTGATGGCCTGTTAAGAACCAAAGTTGCTTCTTCTTGGGGATGGACTACATTTGAACGAGATGCCTCACGACGCTTTGGAATGGCACCTTCACGGGCTGCATCTGAGGGTGTGCCTGTCTCACTGGGGTTTCCTGCTGCGCCTGCCCCTGACTCACAAGATGACTCAACTCTTAGAGAACAAAGCTCGGCACCTGTTAGCTCACGCACTCGTACAACAGGGGAAAAAGACGCACCCTTAGCTCTGAGATCTCTCTGTGCAAGCAATTTGTCTAAATTAATACTTAAAGGTTTCTTTTTTGGATCTTTTGCTTTGGGTCGAGACTGTGAATTGCTAGAGCCCTGATCTGGGGGGTCAAAGTATGTGTCAAGGTTCTCTGTGTCACAAGCTGGAAAGGAATCTGAAGCCACTGCCAGCGCTAACCGAGGAACACTGTTAGCCGCAACTGGTCTCTCAACAGAGCCTCTAGGCAAAGAGCCGGCAGGAGCATTACAGATCACTGGGGGACGCACGAACTCTTCTCCTCTAGTTGTAGCCTGAACACCACCAACTGCATTAACTGTTTTCACACCACTCTCAACCCTACGCGCCAACTCCAAGGACTGCTGCTGCCCCCGCTCCAGCCTTTGAATAACCGATGGTCGGACTGGAACCTCTGCACATTCCTGAGAAGTGCCAGGCCTACACTCTATCTCTTCCACAGATTCTGAATCCTCGGAGAGCATCTCTCCACTGCTCTCTTCACTGTCGTCCTCCTTTTCATCCGAATCATCCAAAACAATCACTTCCGGTGACCCAGCTGCTGCTGCTGGTGGTGGTGGTGGTGGTGGTGGTGGTGGTGCTGCTGCTGCTGCTGCTGCTGCTGCTGCTGCTGCTGCTGCCTCATTTGGTGCAGAGCTAAAATGAATGGGGAAAAAAACATTAAAATACTTTAGTTTTTTGCTTAGAATTCATGGTATTATTTTCCATTATGGATCATTGTTAGTGAAAAAAGAACATAAATAATCACTCCAGATTGTACACTTTAGGATGTTAACTGGTATAGAAGACGCAGTAAGTCCACCAATTGCTATTTCATCAACAAATGGCTTGTGAACATACGAAAATGTAAATGAATCCCAGTATCCATTTTTCAGTTATCACAATAAATGTCGCAAAGTTTGACCCAGAGGCTTAGGATCTCACCCAGTTGGTAAAGCGCTTGCCAAGTATGTGCAAGACCCTGGGTTTGATACCCAGGAACCTCAGTTTTTAAGAGTAATGTCGAACAAGACAAATTATACAGTTAACTCTCTACAGACGCACACATAAGAAGCTAGCCCTAGGGCTGGCACAATAACTCCGAGGTTAAGAGTGCTGGCTGCTCTTCCAGAGGTCCTGAGTTCAATTCCCAGCAACCACATGGTGCCTCTCAACAATCTCAAGTGAGATCTGGTGTCCTCCTCTAGCCTGCAGGCACCAGAACGCTGTATACACAATAAATAAATAAATCTTAAAAAAAGAGAGAAGAAGGAGGAAGAGGAAGAGGAGGGGAGAGGGAGGAGGAGGAGGAAGAGGAGGAGGAGGAAGTAGTAGTAGTAGTAGTAGTAGTAGTAGGGGCCTCAGCAGGAACACAGGAAATAGGTATTGGTCTGGCTATGCTGCCTGGTTGATCTTTCTCTAGAAGGAGCAATGCTACCACCTCAATTTCCCAAGAGCTAGAATCAAAGGCACCTGGCCTATGACTCAGTCACCGTTTAATACTCATTCTGAATTATGCCTATGTACACCATAGTTTCCACTCAAAAGTTTAAGTTACTTTTTTTATGTTTTGGTTTTTAAAACAGGGTTTCTCTGTATAACCGCTCTGGTGATCTGGAACTCACTTTGTAACCCAGGCTGACCTCAAATGCACAGAGCACCTGCCTCTGACTCCTGTGTCCTGGGATTAAAAGCTTTCACCACCATGGCTGGCCAATTAAGTTCATTTTTAAAGATCTTAAATTTCATATCTAAAAATCTGTCAGTCATCTCTTCTACTACATCAGCATAACATGCTTGATTCAAAACACTTTAAAACCCTTCCTTCACATAAATACAGCTATCCTATTCAGTCGTAGCAGCCACCTACTACAGGTGCTCTACTCAGTGGTACTCAATGGTAGACACTGAGCAACTTCAAAAAAAGATAATCTGGCCTTCAGTAAGCATTCAGTTAGCAACATCCAGTGCAAAATATCAATATCGTCTTATTTAGACCCACAAAAAGGGATCACAACCAAGAGAAGCCTAAGGTATCATAAGCTAATTTAAGATGGATATCCTAAAACAGAAAGAAGTCAAACTTGGAAATCTTAGTTTGAAAACCGAATTTAAAAATAACTAAAGAAGCTAGGTGGTGGCGTCACGCACCTTTAATCCCAGAACTCAGGAAGCAGAGGTAGGTGGATCTCTGAGTTCGAGGCCAGCCTCGTCTACAGAGTGAGTTCCAGGAGACAGTCAATGCTACACAGAGAAACCCTGTCTTGGAAAAAAATTACTCAAGGAATTTGAACAAGTTATAGACAAGTTATGAACAAGTATTATCAGTTCATTAATTACAACAAATGTACCAGACTAATGGTGAGGCATTTAATATTAGATAAATTCAGTTAAGTCATATTATAAAAGACCCTCCTTTTGGGGGAAACTGGGTCTTACTGTGTAGCCCTGCTGTGGTGGAACTCACTCTGTAGCCCAGGCTGGCCTCAAACAGAGATCCACCTGACTCTCCCTCCGAGTACTGGAATTAAAGGTGTGTATCACTATGCCTGACTTTATAAGAACCCTCTTTATTAGCACTTTTTAATTTTTCTGCTACGATTTTCTTTAGAAGACTCCAGCCTAAAGCTGGAAAAGACGCTGCAGTGGCAGAGGCTTGCTGCGTCTCCAGCACCCACATGAGAACCAGGAGCAGGCAGTACATCTACAGCACCAGCGTGGGATCCCAGGGGGTTCCAGGCTGAGGGAGACCATCTCAAAACATAAGGGGGTGGGACAAAGACACTCAGCACCAAGCTGTAGCCTCTTGCACACACATATAATTCTAAAGTTTAGCAACAGCAAGGTGGCAAACGTCTGCAATCTCAGAACTCCAGAGACGTGGAGCATATCAAGGCTGTGCTGGGATGTACTCAGACACAACAAATGGGTGCTCACTCTGGCAGCAACACACTGAAACTGGAATGACCCTGCAGGACGATGTGCAAACCTGTGAGGGATTTCCTATTCTTGTGTTTTTGCTATTGATATTTCTTACATTAAATATTTTTAAAATATGTAATGAAATAATGTGTTACCATAAAAAGTAAAAAACAAATCCCTAGCACTTTAGTAACCAAATGAATATCTATAATAATTAGAAACGACAGCTGGGTGTGGTGGTGCATTCTTTCAATACCAATGCGTGGGAGGCCCATGGCAGGTGGAGTTCTGTGAATCCGAGGCCAGCATGGTCTACATACCAAGTTCTTGGTCAGCCAGGTCTACATAGTGAGACCCTGACTCCAAAGAAAAGGGGTAAAAGTGAAAAACTAAGCATTTTTAGACTTGAGAAATGCCACATTTGTCTAAAAGTATGTGTGCATGGATCAGCAACGGCTTTACGTGTGGTTTTTGCCTGCATGCATGTATGTGCACCACATGTATGTGTGTGCACATGTGTGCCTGATATCTGTAGAAAACAGAAGACACAGTATAGCCCTTAGAAGTAGAGTTACAGGTGTTTGTGAGCCACCTGTTGTGAGTGCTATGAACCAAAGGTGGCTCTCCGAAAGCACAGCAAGTGCTTTTAGCCACAAGTCCCTAGCTGCTCTTCTATGAACCTCTCAGAAGTAATACTGTGTTCATTCCATAAGTCACTGAGGTGGCTCCCGTACACTCGTGTGTTGACCACCTGGCCAACAGGGAGTGGCACATAAATCAGGAGGTGTGGCCTTGTGGAGGAAGTGTGTCACTGTAGCGGCAGGCTTTGTGGTCTCAGATGCTCAAGTTACACCCAGTGGGACACACTCCTTCTGCTGACTGTGGATCAGGATGTAGAACTCTGAGCTCTTTCTCCAGCACCATGTCTGCCTGCATGCTGCCATGATGACAATGGACTAAACCTCTGAAACTGTAAGCCACCCCAATTAAATGTTTTCCTTTATAGGAGTTGCCATAGTCATGGTCATCTTTTTGAAAGTGTTTTAGATTTATTTCATGTGCACATATCTAAGAGCACCATGTGTGTGCCTTGTGACTGCTGAGGTCAGAAGAGGGGACTGAACTCATGGAACTGGAGTGAGAGTTGGCTGTAAGTCATCAGGGATGCTGGGAACTGACTCGGGGGCCTCTGCAGGAGCAGTTAATTTCTCTTTGTTGCTGAGCCCTCACTCAAGCCCCTTGGTAATTTATTTTATTTGGATTGTGGGTAATAAACATAATTGTTATAGCACAAATTCTAATTGGCCTTAATAACTAACTTAATTAGAGGAGGTGCTAGTTAGTTCATCAAGCAGCATGGCCAATTCATTTAAACTAACCTATAAAACTAACAAATGCTTTTCCCTTGATCAGATATAACTTGCCAAAAGAGAACCTCCCCAAAATTAGAGTTGGGGAAGGGTTTCTGGAGAATAAAGGTATACAACTAAGGAATCCAAAGACCACTGGACAAATGAGACCTCTGAAGAAAAATGACAGATCATTCAGAAATAAATGTCCCAAGAAAAAGAGTAAACTGGCCTATTGGTATAGATTTCATAAATCTTCCCAAATGTTTGTTTCTGCTGTTCTCTACAGACAATGTAATGCAAATGGTCTTTCTGTAGTCCCAGTCCAGTTAAAGATTAAAGCTGGCTTTGGTGTTTGAGCGCCACTCTCTCCTTCTCTAAACCCCAGGATGCTTGTTAAAATAAAATCCTTAGGGGGCTGGAGAGATGGCTCAGAGGTTAAGAGCACTGCCTGCTCTTCCAAAGGTCCTGAGTTCAATTCCCAGCAACCACATGGTGGCTCACAACCGTCTGTAATGAGGTCTAGTGCCCTCTTCTGGCCTGCAGGCATACACACAAACAGAATATTGTATACATAATAAATAAATAATTATTTTAAAAAAATCCTTAGTACCCAAGGCCACCCCCAGCCTGGCCCCAGTGTCTCAAAGGCCATCGGCTGAAGGAGGTTCCCCAGCAGTACAACACTTTGGACTCACCAAGATAGGATAGATAATGGAGTATTTTCTCTGAATGTGTCAAATGCAAATGGACTAGACATTGTGGATGTGCCTACTGCCTGTATATATTGTATAGTTATTGTACTTACTGCATGAGGTTTTTCTTATATTAGTTATAACCTTCTTTTTTCATTTTAGACAAAAAGAAGAAAATGTAGTGATATTTTGTTTGTGTTTTAACAAATAAAACTTGACTGAAGATCAGAGTGCAGAGCTAAACCACTAGAGGCCAGGCGGTGGTGGCTCACACCTTTAATCCGCAGGATTTGGGAGTCCCAAGACTTTAATCCCAGCACTAGGGAAGTGGAGACAGGAAGGGATATGGCTGGCAGGAGAGAGGACTATAAGGAGGGAGGAGACAAGAGCTCACTGCAGTCTGAGGTTTGGTGGGGACAGACAGGAGTCTGGAGATGCAATCACTCCTGCAGTTTGAGCATTGATAGAGGTAAAAGAACTCTCTTGTAGCTGTCTGCGTTGTTTCTCTGATCTTCAGCATTAACCCCTATATCCGAGTCTGGGTTTTATTATTAAGACCAATTAGAATTCGTGCTACAAACTCATCAAAATAACATTACCCTATAGTTAAAAACACAATTTTGACATCTAATCAATGAAATGATAATGCAGGAATCACTTTCACCTTTTTCAAAACTCTACATTACCTTCATTTGCTTTGTTTTTAGTTTTTCAAGACAGGGTTTCTCTTTGTAGCCCAGGCTGTCTTGGAACTTGCTCTGTAGACCAGGCTGGCCTCAAACGCAGAGATCTGCCTACCTCTGCCTCCTGAGTTCAAAGGATTCAGTCCTTCTAGGGTTGAAGGAGTGCACCACCACCACCTGGCTGACTTATTTGTTTTGTAAGTAAATCTTTAACAAGGAGAACCTCTGAGTCTGAGGCCAGCCTGTTCCAGGCAGGCTGCGAAGCTACACAGAGAAACCCTATCTCAGAGAAGGAAAGAAAGAAAGAGAGAGAGAGAGAGAGAGAGAGAGAGAGAGAGAGAGAGAGAGAGAGAGAGAAAGGGGGGCAATACAGAAAATAGAAGGAACCAAAAATAAAAGGTGAAAAGAGAACAATATGGCAGCAACCACCTAGATGCTTCTATTTGCATCTGTATTTCTATCTATCTGTATTTAATAGCAACAAACCATAATTCAATTTCGAGTCATTTGTCACTTTACCACACCAAAAAAAAAAAAACTTTGTACATAGCTCTTGAGCTAAAGGGGAACTTTAGGGCCAGTGAGATGGTTCAGTGGGTAAACTGGCACTGCTTTAATCAGACAAGTCAATCAAGTTACCGTCATCCATGTCTGAAGAATGAACCAGCAGGAGTGGAGGCACAAAGGCAGTAGGGGGTGAATGCAAGCCAAACGTCATAATGAAAGCCAGTATTTTCTGTATCCTAAATGGGTTTAGTAATTAAAAGAAATTACCACCAATTAGACATGTCAATATCTTGTGCCCCAAAGGATACAAGCTCAGCTTTGAGGAATTACTGCCCAGATGTATCCTCTCAGTTTAGTCATGGGGAAACACCGGACAAGTCCAAACCGGGCTGCTGGTCATAAAATAAATACAGTGCTCTTAAGAGGTATCATAGTCTTAGTGAGTTAATAAGAAACAGTGAAATGACAAAGTTGGAGGGAGACTAAGGAGACAGGACATTCAGTACAGTGAGTGAGCACTGGTGGTCCCAGCACAGGCAGGAGCATGCCAAGAGTACAACCACAGAGAAGCCAGCAGCATCCATACGAGTGGGTCCTAGTTTAATTGTACCTTCAGGGCTCAAGTTTTTCTATCAGTTTTACAATGTGTTTGGTAAGTCTGATATATTATACCAAAATGAAAAGTTAAAAAATAAAGCCTCTACAGCAGTGGTTCTCAGCCCTCCTACTGCTGTGACCCTTTGATGTAGTCCATGTTGTGGTGACCCCCAACCATTCAATTATTTTTGTTGCTACTTCATAACTTTAATATTTCTACTGTTATGAATCCTTGTTTTCATTAATTTATTTTTTATGAGTGCTCTGTCTGCATGTGCACCTGCACACCAGAAAAGAGCAGCAGACCCCATTATAGACGCTGTGAGCCACCATGTGGGTGCTGGGAATTGAACTCAGGACCTCTGCAAGAGCAGCCAGTGCATCTTAGCCACCTCTCCAGTCCCTACTGCTATGCATCTGTATTTTCTGTTTGTCTTAGGTGACCCTGGTGAAAGGGCCCTGTGACCCCCAAAGAGGTCGTGACCTCTATTTTGAGACCTGCTGATTTATAATGATCTATATACTCTCGCCGAGAAGTTCAAGTCCTATGAAGTTAAACTACAGAAACAGTTGCTGTGCTGACTTGAATGACAATGGCCTCCATAGGCTCATATGTCTGAATACTTGGTCCCCAGCTGGTGGAACTAGTGGGGAGAATTACAATGTGTGGCCTTGCTGGAGGAGGTGAAGCTTCAAAAGCCCACACCATTCCCAGTTAGTGCCCTCTCTCTCTCTGCCTCTTCCTTGTGCTCCAGCACCAGGCCTTCCTGCTGCCTTGTTCCCCACCCTGACGCTATGGACTCTAAACCCTTAGACACCGAGAGTCCCAGGTTAAATGCTTTCTTTTTTGAGTTGCCGTGGCTAAGGTGTCTAAGACAGTTGTACAGACATTTGTTGAAGAAATGCTTATGAGGTTTATAAGTCTGAAAGTCTCACGTATGATCCCATGGTTAGTCTAATCTTATCTTTCTACCAGTTCCTACTGAAAAACAACATTTGAAAAAACACTTCCCCATTACATCTTCATCATTTCTAAATTCTAGATTCGTGTCTTGCAATGCATGTTTCTTTTCCTACGACTGGTGTGCGCCTGGGGAAAGTCTGTGTAGCTATGCCCCATTTTGCTTTGCTTATCTTGCATACTTGTTATAGTCTGATTTCTAGGGTTCTTTTAGCCCAGGAAATTAAAAATTAACTTTTAAATGTTACAAAATTTTCTGTATTAAAACAACCAGAACAAGCTGATTGGTGGGGGTAGCTATTGAAAGCCAGAAAAATGGCTTAAAGGGTAAATATGGTTGCCACCAAGCCTATATATGATTCCCAAAACATACATGGTACTTAAAAGAGAAAATTAGCTCCTGCAAGTTGTCCTCTAACTTCCACATATGCAGAGATGAAAAAACATATAATAAAAATTTAACTGAAAATCTTTCGAAAAGACATCAAGATCCTGGCAGAGTGTATAAAGAGACCATCAATCTAATATGTCTTCTACTCAGTCAGCACACAAATCCATTAATATAAAATTGACTTAGATTTTTACTTTGGCTATATTGTCTTATTATGACCAACTTTTCTGTTACTAATCTTTCAAAACATTTTGTTCCACCTCTACCCAACATTTAATCCTATGACACACCTACAAAGACCTTACTAACACATAATCACTTCTCAGCCTAAGACATTTATTTAGGAGAAAGCATCGCTGTGTGCATATTTTCTGCAGTGAACTATTTATTTGCAGGGCTGAGGACTGAAGCCAGGGACTCACTAATACTGAAGCACTCTCTATGATTCAGCCAGCATCCCAGGCGCACAGTAAAATCACACAAGCAACTGAGATGGAGAAATGGCTCAGCAGTTAAGAGTACTTGCTGCATAGTCATGAGGACCAAAGTTTGGATCCCAACAGCCATATAACAAACTAGGAACTCTGTACATGCCTGTAAAAGTAGCTCAGAGATGGGTAGGAACAGGGGGATTGCTGAGACTTGGTGGCTTCCAGCCTAGCCCAGAAAATACTAAAGCTCAGCATGCAGGTGCACATGCACACACGTGTGCATGCATCCACATGCTCGTAAGAGCAAACATATACACAAACCAATCTTTAGAAATAAAAAAATTAAGACTATGTATTCTTATAATAGGCATATGAGTATTTTGTCTGCATGTCTGTGCGCCACATGTATGCCTGTAGAGGTCCAAAGGAGGTGTCAGATCACCTGGAACTCCAGAGACTTACAGGTGGCTGTCAATCAACATGTGGGCCTCTGCAAGAGACATCACTCCAGAGCCCCCTACAGATAAATCTTTAAATGGCAGTTACTAGATAAAGTTTCACTTTAGGGCTAGGTACGTGCTAACTCTCCTCCTAGCCCTGCATCCAGACTGTAGCCAATGGCTTTCCTTTGCAGTTGTTTGCTTTTATTGGTTAAAGAAGACAGTTCCGTTCAAGGCTGGGAAGACAGCCAGAGCAGAGTGCTTGCCTGACTTGTTTGAGCACTTAGGTTTAGTCCCTAGTTCGGGGCTACAGCATTTCCAAAGTCAGATGGTGGGGTGGATGGAATAGGATGATACTCCACTGAAAGGCCTTACCTGTTGTCTTGGTAGTTGTCTGGGTGGTGGTCCAGCACATCCTGCATGAAGCGTTCCATCAAACTGTCGTCGGCAGTCGTCCGACGCCGACTCTGTCTGGTCAGGTCTCTGTGCTGGGCACTAAGCAAGTGCTGCAAGAGAAGCAGTGGGTATTCTAAATGAGTAACCGCCATTCACGCCAACAGAACGGACTCATGTATGTATTGCAGAAATGTAAGTTGATATTCTTTCCATGTAGCACTTCTAATATATGTATCTAAAACCATAATAATGTGTTTCCCTAAATATAGTTACGTTCCTCTAAATACATACTAAGAACGACATCAAAAAGTATACTTAATACACCATATATAGTATTTAACTGGAAACTAATATTTCCAGTTAATATAAAAGAATATAATATTCTTAAATTATAATGTAGACTAAAATGTAATACCATGCAGCTACCTAAAATAATAAACCATAATAAAGATAAATACTATGTATTAAAAGAAAAATTGTATGTATGGCTCTGTCTGAAACTACAGTCTAAATATATATAGACAAGCAAATGGAAGAAAATGTACTAAAATCTTAAAAGTATGCTTTTAAGTGGTATGGTTATGGAGAATTTTTAATTTTTCTTAAAATTTTTATATTTTCCAGTGAGTATTTTTACAATAAAGAAAACTGTGAAGAGAGAACAGGGTTGGATTATGGTATTAAAAAAGAACAAAGATTAACTCCAAAAATGCTTCATTTCTTTTTCTTCAGTGACTAAGAAGAATCCTGTCTTGGCAGAATATTAGTGTAAGCACATTAAAGCCTTCAGCTTTCCACAGACACCCGTATTAGTAGATTAGCAACATGATAACAGGCTAAAACAGGCCATATGCCACACACAGGGCTATTCAATCCAGCTCAAAAGCTTACTGCGTTTGCACTCTGCAAGAACAGCGCCCTCTTTTGACACAAAGAGAGTGGGGCACAAATATAAAATAAAAGCAAACAGCAAAGCCAGGATTTGAATGTGAGCCAAACTGCAGGTTATAAGCTTTCCATTGTCACGCAGCTAGTATAAATGGCATATTAATTGCATATGTTCCTTATAATACAATAACATGCTTTAGCGACATTTTTAAATCATGTTTTAATATAGTTAAGGACTATTTTAAAAAAATAAGTTGCTAATTCCTGACCACTGTTACAGCTCTTGGAATTATTTCCTGTCATGCTGACATGAGACTTTTTCTTCAGTGTTACCTTATCCCCAGGAGCAATCAAGTAGGACATCTCCAGATCCTCTTGCTACAAGCTCCCCCACTGTCCAGTGTCCATCACCAGAGCTAGACTGCTGGTAATAAAGGACAAGTGGACAAGGGAACAAAGACTCAACTGAAACCCAATCTTGTCCTCTGCTAAGGCAAGAGAGAGAACAATGTGCACGGAGCAGCGCCTCTGTGTCAGCTGCAGGTGCCACCACCACAGACAAGCTCACACGGCTTTACATACATATCACATAGGACACAAAATACTCAAAATAAACACATCCATAACCATCTATCCCCAAATATAAGCACCTAGAAATCCGTCTTCTGCCTCACACCAATCTAACATCTCTTCTCTCTTCCCCAAGTATAACTATCACCCTGATTTCTAATACTCTGGTTTTGAAAGGTTCTAAAATTGACATAAATAACATGATACAACATGTATTCATTTGCACTAAGCTCCTCTCAGTCAACAATGCATTCATAACACTATTCAACATTAGCTGTATTCTGCTCATCTTCATCTACACACCTGTACTCTCTTGTATGAGTGTATCAAAGTGTATGCATTCTGCTCTTGATTGCTGCAAAGAATCTCACTGTCTTGTGTGACAAGGCACGCACACTGATATATTACTAGCGGTACAGCTTTTGTGTCACACAATACACGTATGCCCAGCTTCAGTACCTACTCTTCCAATGTGACGGCAACAGTCTATGCCTCAACCAACAGTCTATCTTATCTTTGCATTGCTCTACTTCACTGACTCTTGGTATTCTGTTTTTCACATCTTAGCAATTGTGGAAGGTGTTCAATGCCATATATTGTGGCCTCAATCCACAATCTGATGATAGCTTTTAATTTTTACTGGCAATCCAGATTGTCTCTAGTTATGTGTCCATTCAAATTTCATCCTGATGTTGTTTTTTTTTAAGACAGGCTCTTCATTATAAAGTCCAGGCTAGCCTTGAATTCAATATCAGCTCCAGAATATTGGATTACAAGCAAATGCCACCATGCTAGCTCTTTTTCCTGTTTTTCAAATAGATGTCTTCTTCTTTATTAACTTGTAGAATTTACTTGTTCTGGGTATAATCTCTTCATTCAAGTATCATCTTCCTCTCTGTGGCCGGTCTTGTCTTCTCACTTCCTCTCTGTGGCCGGTCTTGTCTTCTCACTTCCTCTCTGTGGCTGGTCTTGTCTTCTCACTTCCTCTCTGTGGCTGGTCTTGTCTTCTCACTTCCTCTCTGTAACTGGTCCTGTTCTCACTTCCTCTCTGTGGCCGGTCTTGTTCTCACTTCCTCTCTGTGGCCGGTCTTGTTCTCACTTCCTCTCTGTGGCCGGTCTTGTTCTCACTTCCTCTCTGTGGCCGGTCTTGTTCTCACTTCCTCTCTGTGACTGGTCTTGTTCTCACTTCCTCTCTGTAACTGGTCTTGTTCTCACTTCCTCTCTGTAACTGGTCTTGTTCTCACTTCCTCTCTGTGGCCGGTCTTGTTCTCACTTCCTCTCTGTGGCTGGTCTTCTTACTTCCTTCCTGCAGCCGGTCTTCTCAGTTCCTTAATCATCTAACACCTTCTTAATTTTATTGCAGCCAACTTTCCTAATTTTTTTCATGCTCTTTTTTGTTCTTGTTGTTAGCAGAAAGCTCTTCCTCACAAATCATGAAGAGTCTCTTTTGTCTGTTATTAGTTCCTTTATTATGTTTCCTACAACACTTGCATCTATAAATCATTTGGAATGATTTTTACACACACAATGATTTGACAGCAAAGTTTTAATTTTTTCCCAACTAGCTATCAATTGGCACACCAGCATTTACTAACAGCAAGTCTTGTTCCTGGTTGCTCTGTAATGCCACCGTTGCCACAGATCCAATACAGTCATCTATCTCGGGAGTGCGTTTCTGCGCCTTTTCTAACTTTACACCAACACCACCTTGTCTAAAGAGTAAAGGCAGTAAGAATGGTTATCTGGTGGAATACATCCTCCCACTTAGATCTTCTTCAATGTTATCTGGTTCTCATCTTTTTCATTTCCATATTTACATTGGCTTAATTTTCATTAGGATTTATGTAATTTTTTTACTGTAATTTCATTGGGCAAGTAAAAATATTTGGAGAAATTGGACATTTTTAGTAATAACTCTTTCAATCCATGAAAATATTAGGTCCCTCTCCCACCTAGTGCTGGTGATTAAACATAGGGCCTAAAGAATGCTAAAGCAAGCACGCTATCACTGAGCTAAATCCTCAGCCTTCAGTGTTTACAGGTTGTATGTAAAGATTTTATATATGTTTCATTATAATTAGTCCTCAGCATTTTATATTCATTGATGTTATTGTAAATGATATCTCTTTAGGTCTCATTTTCTGCAGCGTATCTGTATATATAAATATGATTTTTCTGTTGCTCCAACCATCATGGGTTTTTTGGTTTTTTAGCCAAAGGCTCCCCAATGGTATCCAGGCTAATCCCAAATGCATAGAAAGAATCAAAGATCCTCCTATCCCAGCCTCCTCACAAGCCAGAACCACAGACATTCGCTACCACGCCTGGCTCCGACAGGCTTTAACCGCACTCATTCATTCTGAAAGTTCATCTGTTTGGTTTCTAGTCTGTCATCATGTTATAACAAATAACTGTTTTTTATCTTCTTACCCAATTATCTTTATCATCTTAGTCATTTTTATCTTTATCTTTCTTATTTTATGACTAAAACCTCCCATAAAGCCTTAAATATAGTTTTGTTTTTTTCCTTTTTGAGTTGCTGCCATACACGGCAGGCAAGTGCCCTACAAGGAAAGTAAACATGCACACACACGGCCATTGAACACAGTTTTAATTCAAGCCGTAAGTCTATGTTCACTTGGGTATGCTCGGAACTCTGTTATTTCTTATTCTTTTGTTTTTATTTATTTATTATGTATACAATATTCTGTCTGTGTGTATGTCTGCAGGCCAGAAAAGGGCACCAGATCTCATTACAGATGGTTGTGAGCCACCATGTGGTTGCCGGGAATCGAACTCAGGACCTTTGGAAGAGCAGGCAATGCTCTTAACCACTGAGCCATCTCTCCAGCCTGTTATTTCTTATTCTTATGAGTAGTTTCTCTTCTTTCATCCTCTTTATTATTCTGATTTCCCCCTTTTGTTAGCTCAGTAGTAAGTCTAAACTATCAAAGTCTAAAATTATTCTCTCTTTTATTCTCTTCAACAACTGAAGATCCTCAGGAATTAACTCCACTCACTACCCTCCCAAGCTACATCGCTGTTAATCCCACAAACATGATTTATTGGTTGCCTACATATTTACCTGTCCATTGTTCTTCATTACTTCCTGATAGCTCTGAGCTTCCATCTGGAATCATTTTCCTTCTGCCTGAAGAACTCCTTTTAGTTTTTCCTTTAGTGGGGGTCTGCTGGTGACAAATTCCCTTAAATTTTGTTTTCTGAAAATATTTTTATTTTACCTTATGTTTAAAAGTTATACTTATTAAGCAGAGAATTCTAGGCTAGCAGTTGTTTCCTTTCTTTTGGCTCCCATTGTTTTCTATCAAATTCTCCACTTGGTCTAGGTCCATTTCTTCACTGCCTTAGTAGTGTATATTATATATAGTGTATATATAAATTTTATATATACATAAAATTTGCCAAAGGTTCAACAAGTCCAGTCACATAATGAAACAATTTATCAATCATAAGAGAAAGAGAAAGAGACTTTATTTACTTTCTGCCTCATGTTTATGACCAGCATCAAAAAAAATTTTTTTTGAAAAAGGATAGAGGGGTTAAAAAAAAACACAACAAAAAACTTTTTACAAGAAAATCGACTGATTCCTATTAGATAAACAAGACAAATGCTACCACATAGAATTTATACATATTGTACAATTATCTTAGATATCATCTAGGATAAAAACAGTTCAACATTTACAAAACCAGAATAGCATTATAAATTGTTTCACCTATGACACAATTATAGCTTAGACCCAGAAGCAAAACTTGAGACACTGGTCAGAAAACAGTAGCTATTGCTACAACGAATACTTGTATCAAAATATATACAATGGTTCATAAAACTCTTCCAATAAAAATAGAAGGGCACACTACTCAATTCCGTCTATGAAACTGTTATTACTCTAATATCAAAATGACACAGAGACACCATAAGAAAGTCACAGACCAACACTCCTTACAAATATATATATATATATATATGTAAATATCCTCAAAAACTTAACAAATAAAATCCAGCAATATTGAAAGAGAAGTAACTGTATGCCATAGCCAAGTAAGATCCATCTCAGGAATGTAAGATGATCAGGAGGGACTGCACACTGACCCTGACCAAAACCAGCCAAAACTCACAGGCTTTACTTCTAACCCCTAACATGACTAAATTTGGACACGATTTGCGGAAGGATGAAGGTCTAACAGCAATGACTGTTGACCTCTTGAGAGGAAGAGAGATTACCCTCCCACCACAAGAAGACAGACTGAAAGGCAGTCGTGTACAATTTAGGAAGGCAGAGAAATAAACAAACAAATAAATGAGGTAGTATCTTCCACTTGGACTTCATAGCCTTCAAAGCAGTAAGAAAACAATTCCATCTAGTAGTGCTATGTCTTACTATGGCAGCCTGAACTAATGCACTTAAATAACAAACACAGAAGAGCACATGACAAGTCCTGCACCCTTTCATAACCAAACACTCAATAAACTAGGAAATAACTAGGAACAGAAGCTCATCTCCTAAACCTAACAAGGTCTTTTATATAAAACCACACTGTGTATCATATTTAATATCGACACAATAAAAGTTTTCTCCCTAAGATCAAGAGAGACAAGGATGTCTATTCTCCTCTTCTACTGGTTACCGACTAAACTGGAGAGAGGTTCAAGGAAAGAAAAAGGGTATGCATGTTGGAAAACTAGTGCCATGACTTTGTACACGGAAAAATCTTACACTTCAAAAAAAAATAGAGCTAATAAGTTCTACAATGTTGAGTGAGGTAAGATAAATATTTTAAAAAGCTATTATAGTTCTATATACCAGAGATAAACAAATGTGAATTTAACAAAACAAAAGCATCAAAAATATTAATGAATAAATTTAACACAATAGTATAAAACTTGTACATTGAAAAGTCCAAGACACATAGGTTTCTAAGAAGCTTTATATAATGGAAATACATACTTCCTGCTCACAAACTGGAAGACTCAATGCTAAAATGGATGCTCCACAAATTCATCTGCAGATTCAACACAATCCCTATCAGAATCTGCCTGCTTTTCTGAAGCAACCCAGTCTTAGAAAAAAACTTTAAGAACAAAGAAAGCCTATGATGTTTAGTGGAGATGACAAAATGAGGACGTGTTGGTATTATTGGTGTTCCAAAAAAAAGAAAAACCTATTCAACCTAATAACCTAAAACTTTCTATCTTAGAAAAACATATGGCTGTCCAAAAAAAAAAAAAAAAAAAGCTTGAAAAGTGACCAAAAGATGAGATTCCAAACGTTCTCTAAAGGCCCATGCATTGAAAGGTAGTTTGTCAGCAGTAGGACCCTTCAGAGGTATTAGGTGGCTGAGAGTGTGCCTCCAGTGACTACTATGGGAGTCCTGTTGTTCTGTCTATTTTTTCACATTCCAGACACAAAGTCAACAGCTTGTCACTACACTCCATGCCCAGCTGTGTTGTGTCACCACACACCCACAGTAACAGGATCTATCAATTACAAACTCCAAACTGAGAACCAAAACCAACTTCTGCATGTAAGTTGATTACCTCAGCATTTCGTCATGGTACAGAAAGGTAACAAGTATCTCTCGGTCATCAGTCAGGTCACTAAAAGTAAGAGCATTCTGAAGACAGCAACAGAGAAGCATCAAATCACATAAATGATAATTCCCACTAGACTAATAGAAAACTTGTTAGCCAAGATAAAAAAATATTCAAAGTCCTGAAGAAAAGAAAAACAAACAGTTCTATACCCAGCAAAGCTATCCTGCAGTAATTTCCCACCATCAGTCTATCCATACCTAAAATATATGTCTGTTAGAGTTCTATATTAAAAGCAAAGACTACTACCATCATAAAATATGCAAATATAAGATTCAACAGTTGATCAGATACACAAGGGAAGAATCATATACAGAAAATCATCAAAGCACAAAGATGAGTATAGAATAATATATATATATCAAAAAGTAGAAAAAAATTAAAAATATAACAAGTGTATCATTACTTATCAATAATAAGCTTGAATATAAACATTAAATTCTCAAAGAATGTAGATTGGTTCAATAAGGATTTTTTTTTAAAGATTTATTTATTTATTATGTATACAACATTCTGCCTCCATGTATGCACACACGCCAGAGGAGGGCGCCAGAACTCATTACAAATGGTTGTAAGCCACCATGTGGTTGCTGGGAATTGAACTCAGGACCTCTGGAAGAGCAGACGGTGCTCTAAACCACTGAGCCATCTCTCCAGCCCTCAATAAGGATTTTTTAAGAAAAAGAATGATATGCTTGCTGCTCTAAGAAACTTATTTCATCAAAAAAGTAACAACACTTCCTAGAGGCTAGGAACAAAAAAAAAAAAAAAACACATACCACGTAAACAAAACCAAGTAGGCATAGCCACATTTGTATCAGTATAAATAGACTTGTAGTCAAAAACTGGGGAAACCAGACATAATGACAAAAGGATCAGTTCAATAAAAGGAAATAATATATATAGTATCAAATTATTCATCTGTAGATGGCGGCCTTTAAAAAAAGATTTACAGGCGTATAGGTGTTTTGCCTGCATGTATGTATGTGCACTACATGCATGCCTGGTACACATGGAGACCAGTAAAGTATGCCAGACATAGTCATGTGAGCAGTGGGAACCAAATCCAGGTCCTCTACGAGAGCAGTAATCACTCAACTGCTGAGTCACCTCTCCAGCCCCAGAGGACATAATTTTACTGACTAAGAAAGGGAAAAAAAAAAAAAAAAACCTAGACTTCATTAAAATATTTTAAAAACTAAAACACAAATTCAATAAAGGTGTAGGATATAAAGACATACAAAAAACAGCTGTTCTACATATTGTTACGTTTACCAAGAACGATACCAATAGCAATAATAATAACAATAGTACCATCTAAAGACAAATTTAACCTGACGTAGTGATCTCTACAATGGAAGTTACAAAGTATGAAGAGTGAAACTGAGGAGGATACATGACACATAAACCAAGCACAAAAAGATAGCTCATGAACATGGATTACAATATAAAGTATTCATAATAATCTCCAGATTCAATTATAATTCATATCAGAATACCAATGACCTTCACAGAAGCAAAAAAAAAATTCCACATAAATTTAAATTCTAACTTCATGGAGAACCTAAAATATTCTTAACAGCCATAAAAATCTTGAGCCATATGAATAAAGGTGAGCCATTATGATAGCAACTTCAAAACATATTACAAAACTAACATAGCAACTAACATAGGAGGTGGGGCACCAAAGAAACTTAACATAGTAACTAACATAGGAGGTGGGGCACCAAAGAAACTTAACAACAACAAAAAGGAATAATTCATCCATCCAGACCTAACTGTAAGGGCAGTTGACAGGACACAGAATGCCCCAGCTAAAGTTAAGTCTCTTCAGCAAATGGTGCTGGAAAACTTCAACATCTACGTATGTGGTGGCTCAAACCTTTAATCCCAACACTCTGCAGGCAGAGGACCTCTCTGAGCAAAGGTAAGCCCAATCAACACAGTGAGTTCCTAGACAGCCAGAGCTACATAGAGTATGACCCTATCTCAAGAAAGATAATGATGATGATGATGGTAAATCAAATATTAGGAAATAAAACTAGACTTCAATATCTTACTATATACAAAATCAATGCAAATATATCATATTATCATCTGGTGGTGTGGATGAGAACAGCCTCCATACAGTACTGTGTTTGGATGCTTGGCCCCCAGTAACTGTTTGGGAAGGATTAGAAGGATTAGCCACCCCCCCACCTCAAAAAAGAAAAAAAGAAGAAGAAACCAGGCAGTGGTTATGCATGTCTTTAAATCTCAATACTTGGAGGCAGAGGCAGGTGAATCTCTGTGAGTTTGAAGCCAGCCTGGTCTACATAGCAGGAAGCTAGGACTACACAGAGAGACTCTGCCTCAAAAAAAAAAAAAGGATTAGGAGGGCTGGCCTTATTGAAGGAGGGTTCTCCTTGTTGGAAGGGGGTGGGCACTGAGGTTTCAGAAGCCCATGGCAGACACAGCCTCTCTGACTGCTGCCTGTGGAACAAGAGGTGAAAGCTCTCAGCTACTTCTCCAGCACTATGCCTACTG